CCCGCACGCTGGCGCGCCGAGGCACGGCGCAGGCGGGCCCATACAGGCATCACTATCACCAGCCCCGCACGCTGGCGCGCCGAGGCACGGCGCAGGCGGGCCCACACAGAGGTCAGCATTCGACAACCAGGAAAGACACTGTCTTAGAGAGCCGTCAAAAAGGGGCCTCTAAACGTCCCCCGTCCGGGTCGGTCGATGGTTCATTCCTTGGATAGTAGTTATGTTGTTATAAGTAAAATGAACATTTCGTCTTCGGACTATCAAATACCAAACTAGAAGTGACTTCGCACAACCTCATCGCGCAGTCTGCGAATTAACACAGTTCACAAGCGGTTTGTCTTGCGAAAATAGCCCTCATCAGGGGTGATGTTGGGAACAGTTCTTACTGCTCGCAGCTTAACGCGAACACTTAACTTCAAAAATCTAGCCCAGCAATTCAGTTCAACGAACACCGCTTACTTCTGTGTTGAGCCCAATAGCAACGAATGACCTTAACACACCACGCACACGCCACGACAAGATCGCCCCGCTTCAGCTCATTACATTGACCGGATGTCACTGGATCATCTCCAACCGGTTCTACAAACTCGACCACTGACACCACAAGCCATCACAAACGGCGGCCAGCGGTGGGGCGCTCCACCACACCGAGTCCGGGCGATTGCAGATCATACAGAGCGACTCGTGATCAGCTGACACCACAACGCTGGCCTGCCGCCACCCACCTGCGCCTTGCCGGTCAGCAGCTTCCAGCTGTCGAGGATCTCGGCGTTCTTGGCCTTGATCTGGTCCTGGTGGTGGTCGTGGATACCACAGAGTCGGGTGGCCTCCTGGCCCAGCACCATGACCTTGTCCTCCAGGGCGGCCAGGTCACGCTCCAGGCCCTCGTGCTTGCGCTGGGGAGGCACGGTCCGGCCGTGTTACCGAGTACGGCTGCCGACGAGGCGGTGCGCCACGCCAGGCACAGCTACCGGCTCAGTCGTCCACGCACCGGCCCAGAGATCTCACAGGCTAAGCCATTAGTCATGGTTCGTGTCGGGCGCCGAAACGTCAATGTCTTAGTCGGGGCATACACCGCAGAAAACGCACCACTGTCGAAAATTACCAAAGCTCAGCGCTGCTTTCCTGCTCCAGAAAGGGTCAGGAACGGACCGTCTACAGCTAATAACAGCCGCTACTCATATTCTGCTGGCCTGCTACCAATGTAACATAGCTGTTTGTGCCTCAGGTCGGGCCAGGTCAGGTCAGGTCAGGTCAGGTCAGGTCAGGCCAGGCCAGGCCAGGCCAGGCCAGGCCAGGCCAGGCCAGTCCGGGGTAGGCCAGGTCAGGCCAGTTCAGTTCAGGGTAGGGCAGGGCAGGGCAGGGCAGGGTAGGGTAGGGTAGGGTAGGGTAGGCAGGGCAGGGCAGGGCAGGGCAGGGCAGGGGCAGGGCAGGGCAGGGCAGGGCAGGCAGGGCAGTGTCCCATCCACTGACCTGCAGGGTCTGCACACTGGCCCGTCGCGGCCCGTGTCGGTCCGAGCTCAGGATCAGGTCTTCTCGTTGATCCACGAGATGGCCTCGTTGGCGTCGCGGTTGAAGCGCTGGATCTCGTGCGCGCCGAACAGCTTCTCCTGACGCTGCAGCGCCAGCGACTTGAGGCGGGCCCACGACTCGATCATCTCCTGCGGACCGCGAGGACATTGGGTTGTGAGGAGGAAAGACGACTTCGAGTCCCCTGCCGACGCGCGGGACATCGGGTTGTGAGAAGGAAAGACGACTCCGGGTCTCCCGCGAACGCGCGAATACTGGCGTTTTGTGGGGAAGAAAAGCGACACCGGGCGAGTCTAGACGGGACCATCCCCTGTAGGGACATCCACAACATGGACCACATGGTTGGGACGATCACCACCTCAATGGTGATCGTTCCAACCATGTGGTGCATTGCGTGTAACCCGCCTTCACTGTCTGTGGGTCTGTGCGATGTGCAGGGCTCTCTCATTACTACGGGAATTATCACGGCCTGATACATGTCATCACAGCCCTTTGGGAAATCTGAAAACCTTGCCCCGATTTGCTTCACGTAATGTGATATGAATATTGTGTGTCGGCTGTTGACGACGGACAGACACATGCCAGCGAGAGGTGTGCATTGCTAATGCCATTGACTCGTCTCCCTGAAGCACTTAAAAGTACTTCCACTGCTATGCAAGATATTCCCTCTCTAAACGTGCTGACGTGTCGTTCTTGTGGGCCCGCATGGCCCACCGTCGGCGTTCCACCGTCTGGTGCATTCCACGCTTCCTCGTGTGGTCCGTGGCGCTCTCTCCTCGCACAGTGGCGCCCCCGGCGGTGCCCGGTCCCCAAATAGCGGGTGCCGAGGCCCCTCCCCCCCCCGTCCCTTCCTCCCCGCCCGGTGGTCAGCGTTGCTGGGTTCTAACCTCGCGGGTGTCGAGCCTCCGTCCCTCCCTCACCGCCCGGTGGTTATGGCGCTGGGCCCTCACCCTCGCTGGCGTTGAGCCCCCATCCCTCCTCGCCCGGGCGTCAGCGGTGCCGAGTCCTTACCTCGCGGCGTGTCTGGATCGTCTCGTGGTCGGGGTGCTGGTCCGCGATCAGTTTGTCAGCCAGCTGGGTGACCTCAGTGACCCGGTACTCCTGGGACGTCAGGTCCTTCTGGAACTCGTCAAACTTGCGCTGCAGCACCTCCACGTGCTCCAGGTCCGTGCCGAAGTCGTCGGACGTGACGAACGCCTCCTGAGAACACGCAGGCAACACATCGGCATTACCGAAAGCTCACCACTGCTTACGGTGCCGTATTCCATCGGCTACGTGCGGTGCGTGTTTTCATTCCACAGCCATCTTAAATGGGCTTCCACGCAATCATATAACGTGATGTCGCTCGCAAGTGGCTGCAGCAAGGCACACCTTTTTACCAACGCCATCCTGATCAGGTCGTCACCAACCGCACGGGTGGCGGTGATGCAGCGTGGCACGGTCACCATGGTGTCCGCATGATTTAATGCTGCTGATATCAAACTCAACTGCATTGCAGGCGATAGCTAATCAGACACCTGACAGCACCGCACGATAGCAAAGTTCAACGCAGCAGACCCGACCTGAATCAGCGGACCCTTACCACAATGCGACCAATGCTCAATGATGCGCAAGAACGCGGTCAAATACAAAGTCCCCCAGTTGAGCACGGCTGGCTTCGCGTCACGTTGGTTACTACAAACACTGCAGACGCCCATTCGGAGGCCGCAGGCTCGGCTTCCGTCGCCGCCAGCGACTCACCTTGTCGTGAATCCAGAACATGACCTCGTCGTACTGGCGCATGAACTGGACGAGCACCAGCGCCTGCTGCAGCTTCATGCCTTGTCGGCCAGCTTGGAGAGCAGCAGCTCCCACAGGCGGTGCAGCTCGTCTGTCGAGGGGCGCCGCGTGACGTCAGTGGCGCCGGGCACGCGGACGCGTCCACCGCACCAAACCCGATATCGTTCCATGCGTCGATACGTGCAAAGGAAACGCAACTACGGAAACAGCCGGGGTATAAAAATAACAACATTCAATAACCCATAACATGGAAACTGGCCCCAACAAGCAGTGTTCACGAAAACGGTCACGGCTTACTCACTTCTCTCCAGAGAAATATCATGTTATAAGCCGATAGCTTTCGCGATCCAGCCCAGAAACCACCATTACCTGTAATTTCAAATCAAGACTGACATAGTATGGCGAGCCTAAGGACATAACTGCAATCACATAGCATGCCTAACACAAATGAGCTTCATTTCGACGCCACCTCCCCCGGCTGTCCTGAGTCTCCCGTTCGGACAACACTAAGGGGCAAATGACGGTTTACAGCGCCAGCCCGGCACACCCGCGCCCCGGGCCGCGGACTGACCCAGCCTCTGGCGGATGGTCTCGGACGCGAAGTGGCCCTGGTTGATCATCTCGGTGCCCGTGTTGTCCAGTGTGACAATGGCGTTGGTGTGCGCCGCCACCCTCCGCCTCGAACGCCTGGTGTTTTCTGGATCTTGGCCTGCGGAGGACAATCGGCGGCTCCGTCAGTGACACGCAGACGAGGGGGGGGGGGGGGGCACATCAGATCAATGGAAGGCGCGTCAGCGACTTGCGAGGTGGCACATGCAGCCGCACAAATCGTGAGACCCAATCTATATCAGCACTCAACTAAGGTGAGCACGCACATCCGTACCTCACGCACAACGGGAGCCTCGACCTCCAAGCGAGTCCAAAACACATTTCAGCAGTTAAACCAGGTGCCTTTCCCCCAACCCCACGGTGAGTTCGGCACATCATCGCCAGCGGCCGGCCCGTGTTACAGTCTCCCAGCAGGCGACGTCAAACCAAACCCAGTCACTGGTGAACGACCACGTGACACAGGACCCAGTATTACAGCCTCCCAGCAGGCGACGTCAAACCAAACCCCGTCACTGCTGAAAAACCACGCGACCCAACACCGCCGAGAGTACGTCCCTTCACCCCGCGTATCCGCGGTGAGTCGCTGTCCGTACGACCGCCAACCGACCTGGAGGTTGGTGGGGTCCTTGTAGTTCTCGTCGGAGGCGGCCTGCAGCTTCTCGTGGATCCAGGCCTCCAGCTCGTCGGCGTCGCGCTTGAAGTACTGGAAGCGCCTGCTGTCGTCCAGCTTCTGGCGCTTGGCCAGCGCGTCCGCCTTGAACTGGGCATAGCGGCTGAGCACCTGCTCACGCCGCTCCTGGATGTCCTCGGCCGTCTCCAGGATCTTCACCTCCTTCGGCACCAGCAGCGGCGTCTGCTGCTGCTCCATGGTGGCGATGCGTCACGCTCGTGAGCTTCTGCGGCAGGCGGGGAGTGCGGGTCAAACGTCAACAGCCACGAGCTTGCGTGAAGGGCGAGGGGGAGGGGGTACGCGGACGTCAGCAGCCTCGGTAGTAGCGGGCGACCGGGCACAGCAGACATTGCCAACGCCTACCACTACACTTGCGCCGTTAAAACCGCACCAGTCCGCACTTAAGAGGCAGTGGGATAATATCAGACAGATGCAGATGGCGGCGGGCTGGTGGGCTCCCTGCTTTGGCTACTGACAACCATCCCCTGTAGTGAGAGGTGCGGCAGGTAGCCAATGACCAGCGATGAAGGCTACAGTTCGCACATGCCTTTCGTGCGAATCTTCCAGACAAATTTGTCTGACCTCACATTGATCATCCTTTCGGAGATCAGCGTTTATGCAAACCCCTAACACGTTCCAGCGTTCATATGAGCGCGCGAAAGGCTACTTGTAGCGAAGTAGTGGTATTTAACAGTAACAGTAGGAAGGGTAAATTTGGATCGTTTGTTTTTATCCGAGCGAATATAACAAACTTCAACTTGTTAGAACTCAGACTTGAACTACAACTTACAACCAAACTTATTAGACATGCACAGCTTCGGGTAAGGCCATTTGCTTATCGCGGCTTGCCACAAAGGCCGTGGCCAGGACTTCCCCTGGAAGCTACCCCAGTTCCACAACTGTTACTGCAAGAGTTGACGTGCCACACAATCCCGCACCGCAGCCGCGTCTCTTTCCACCCGAGCTCCCTGGACCAGCCGGCAATTGACCGTCAAGGACGGAACACTCGAGCGCGGTTTCTGTGACGCAGGCCCCTACATGCCTGCTAAACACTGGTGTGGTAAACATGCAGGTCGACTGTCCCACACTATCTGTGTTAGTTCAACCCTATTTCCGATACGCTGGAATGCCTGGAATTATTTTCCACATGCCTGTGAGAACAAGATGCAGGTATTTACAGCCCTGATGCTAAAGACAGTTCACTGGCAGGCAAAAAACACAGCCTTTAAAAACAACTATAATACATCATATCAGCGCGTAATTCACACCGTTGCGTAGAAAGCGGTGGATGGATGGATAACGGCACTCACTTGTCAAAGTTGAACATTCACCTTACGGCGATACATGAAAAGGACCGTGTTCCAAAAGTGCGTCCCCTCCTCCACATAGATAGTGCCCATAGATAGATAGTGCCATAGATGGGACCCGCGATAGTGCCTGGCCGAAAAGAACAAGTATATGACGCGACGGCAAGTATATGTCAATGATAGGTATGTTTATCCCTCCATTTAGATACACTGAGGACGGATTATTATCATATCATCCAGAACTTTTGCCCATTTCGCAAGGTTATCTGCGTTACGTCTATGATTTTCAATCACTGTGACCTGTACAAAGCAGACGTCATCATTGATGGACGTAACTGCCAGCTACATAAACAAAAGGGCAACTCTTCAACCAACACCAGGTCCATGCCACCCGCGCTGTCCGGGTGCCCGTCCCGGATATCCGCCTTTCCTAAAACCCGGGTCAGCAGACTGGTGCGGCGACCCTTCAGCACGGACGCAATGCAGTGCGGCGCCGCGTCCGTCGGGGCGTTCCAGAGCGGCCGACGCCGGTGCCAGCTGATGAGTCACCGCCGGGGCGGGGTCGGCTGGCTGGCGCGCCACCAGCCGCTCCCTGCGTGATGCGGCGCGCCCGGCCGGACCGCGGCGCCGCCACAGAGCGCGGGGTCAGCTCTCGGGTGCAGCGGGACGGGAAGCCTTCCCGCCAGGTGCGCCACAGGTGCGCCCGCGCCGCGTCACACTGGTGCTGACAGCGGCGGAGGGAGGGGCGCGAGGACGCAGGGGCGCCGGCTGGTCTGTACCGATCGATGCACCCAGACACTGCGGCCTCGGTGTACAAAGCATATTCCCCCCGCCCCAACGAACTCGCCTGGCGTCGAGCCCGGCCCGTCGGCAGCCCGGGCCGACGACGGACGCGCCCGCTCGGACGCCGGGCCGCAATATAAACAGGCCGGCGGCCCCGGCGGCCGCGGCGTCCCGTGAGCTGGCGGGCCGACGGCACACCCCGCCCGGTGACGTCACGCAGCCGCCGACACGGCTGCCAGCGGCGGCGGGCCACGGCCGCGCCCAGACGGCTGTCTAGCCGCGCGCCGCAACTTCAACTTTCCTATCTGAACCTTGCAACGGACGACCGCGGTTTAGGCTTGAGTGTGTCGCGGTCATATGGCGCCCCAGACTGCTTATCGGCCGCCACCGATAGATAGGCCGGCGGGGTGGGGTCAATAAAACGCTACCCAGTTATCGACCGTCGCCGGCACGCGGTTTGGCACAGCGGGAGTTTCGTGGGGTTTTTTGGTGGCGTTTCGCACAGCGGCGGCGGCCACGCCAACTTTGCAACAATGATGCATTGCACACTTCATGAGTGGGGATGAGTCCGGGCAATGCTGATGGCACAGAAATATATGAAATGTGCATATGTTTCATTACCAAAAATACCACTTAAAACGTACCACAATATATCCGGACATATTAAGAAAGGAACAAGGGCAAAAATGTAGTAAATAAAGTGGGCCAACTATCCAATATTCCCAACTGCAGCTAAACATACAAACTTCTCTAAGTTAATAATATTTCATCAGAAGATTATTATGTGCATGGCATTATCCCATTTATGCTGGTAAAGTAAAGAAATTAGGTTGACTTTTTAACATAGCAACAACTTTATCTATGCCAATTATTTAACTTAGGTATGTAGCACTCCCAATATTTTACAAGTCACACACCAGACTGTGTACTTGGCATTATAAATTGCATTTGCACAAAATATTTTTGAGAACTGAGTGTTGACAAAATCAATTCACTGCAGTTCCATGAAAGATAAACAACAAAAATAGAATTTCATTACTGATCTACACAAGGACTTCACAGAGCCAACATTCTATACACTGTTGTGCTGGCCAATGGGATTTTTTAACAAAAAAATACATAGTCAAAAAATCAAAAATATGATATTCTGAATTTCTACAGCCACATCTGCACCAGAAATGAATGTCTGGTGGCAGACACTAGAAATAACAGCTTCACTGACATGACTAGGATATCAACTGATAAATTTTAGCATAAAAAATAAAACCAAGACCTTGACTCTCACTTAGGCATTTTTATTAGAAAAGCAGCCAATAAAACTATGTCAGAAGCATGGGCAAATGTCTATACCTCTACAGAGTACAGCACCTTGTTCATCCCATTTACCCCTGCTTATCCCATTTGCCTTCCATGCCTGAACAGGCCCATGTCACAAAGGAAGTTTATGATTTTTTTCAGCTTAGGGATGCATTTATAAAAATGCACCTTTCAGAAAACAGCTTGACTGGTAAAAAACATCCAAAATTTTATTTATTGATGATCAATCTAGTAGCACAAGTATTTTGGTCACTTTAATCAAGCTCTTCAAATTATTAGGGTACTTAAAAATACTCTTTAACTTGCTTAAACATTCTTCAAGTTCTCTTTGCTTGTGTAATACAAGAAATGCC